TCTCTTCCACGCGATCCGCCTCACACCTCTTTCCCCGGTATTTGACCCTTCCTTAGCACCCGCACAAGCCTTGAACACTTCCTTAGCCACCCGTCTTATAAATCCCAATATGTCACGACACACACCTCTGTCCCCAAACACATCTTTACACCGCCATTTCCAGCTCCACCAACTTGCCATCGCAAAAATCATCGGCCACCCCACTCTTTCGAGGGCCGTCGTCTCCGTCAAATTACCAAAGAACCATTCCAGGAGGGATTGCGTGAAGAAAGCATTTTGTTTATCCGCTGGAACCAAACGCCTCCAAATCCCATGCATAGGCGGGCATTCTCTCAACACGTGAAGGATCGATTCCACTCCCCCATTACAAATCGAACACACCTCTGTCTGTCCCATATACCTTCTAAACCGCTCTTCATTTGTGAGGATAACTTGGTGAGATACCAACCAAAGGAACAAGCGAACCCTCTCGGGAGCTAGCACACGCCAAACCGGTTCATAAAAGTGGGCCATGCATTGAGTAGCCACCCCATCCTCCGTAATTAGCGCATAAGCGGACTTCACCGTAAGACATCCATTCTCCGTGCTCTTCCATGCCAACTGATCTTGCAACCCCGGGACGCCCTTAACTACGACAGCGTACAACCTCTGGCATAAACTCCTCGGCAAGCTCCCCTTTATCCTTGCCATATCCCATCCTACTCCTTCAACCCAATAATCCACCGCAAATTTCCTTCTCTCTGCATCTGATATCTGGCCCGAGACCCAATCCACCAACGGCTGATCCATAAGCCATTTATCAGTCCAAAAACGAATCCGCGACCCGTCCCTTGGTACCCAACCTACACCTCTTAAAATAACATCCCTCAAGCCAACACCGATACTCCGCCAAGTAGACCACCAAGTATATCTCCCACCTTATACATGCACCATAAAACCCGAGACCACAAGCTAACACCGTCATTTAAGAGTCTCCATCCCACTTTTGCTACTAACGCTTGATTCATCACTCTAGATTTGCGAATGCCTAGACCTCCCACACTCTTTGGTTTGGACACTTTATCCCACGCCATCAAGTGCATTCGCCTCTTCTCTGGAGTACTTCCCCACACAAAAGATCGAGACAACTTATCCAACCTATTTAAAGTTGAAGCCGGGAGTAAGATTGCACTCATCGTATGTACCAGTATTGAAGATAACACCGCTTTTGTCAATGTAACCCGACCAGCCAAGCTCAGGATTCTACTTCGCCACCCCGCAAGCCTTGACGACACCTTCTCAAGAATGTCTCCAAAAGTCTCCTGTTTTATTCTCTTTTGTAATATCGGCATACCCAAGTATTTCCCAAGCTCTATAGTTGCCCCAATGCCACTCTCCTCGGTGATTGATCTCTCCATGTCTCGGCTTACATTCTCCGAGAAAAAAATCTTCGACTTCTCAAGGCTAACCTAATGTCCCAAAGCCATACAAAACTTATCTAAGACCCCTCTTATCAGCCTAACTTGAGCAACTGTGGCTTCAGCAAATAAAATAATGTCATCCGCAAAACATATATGCGAGAGTTTCGGGACTCCCCGTGAAATCGTGATAGGTCTCCATTCCTTTCTACCCACCGCGCCCTCAATCATATGACAAAGACGTTCGAGACACAACACAAACAAGTATGGAGAAAGAGGATCTCCTTGTCTAAGACCTCTCTCCGGCACAAAAGATTCAGTCTTCTCACCATTCCACAAAACACACATAGAGGGGTTCGACACACACGCCATTATCCTTTTCCTCCAACCCGCGTCTAGCCCCGCAGCTTCCAAAGTCTCTTCCAAGAAATCCCAACAAACCCGATCATAGGCCTTCTCAAGATCAAGTTTCAAGAGCATCCATCCTTTCCGCCCTTTTTTCCTCCTCATAGAGTGTACCGCCTCTTGTACCACTACTATATTCTCAATATTTAGCCGTCCGGGTATAAAACTTGCTTGAGCCGGTCCTATCAACTTTGATATCACATGCTTCAGCCTAATGGCCATCATCTTAGTGATCACTTTGAATAAAACATTACACAAGCTCATCGCTCTAAACTATGTTATAGATTCCAGGCTCGCCACTTTAGCTAATAACACAATTAGCACGTCATTCGCAGCCGCCGACAAAACTCCTGATTCGAAAAAATCCAGCACAAACCGTGTCACAGAACTACCAACAATCTCCCACCATTGTTGATAGAACACCGGTTTGAAAACATCCGGGCCCGGTGCCTTGTATCTCCCCATGCCTTTCAAAGCTACAATAACCTCCTCCGTCGTAAAAGCCTTTGATAACATCTCTTTCTCCTTCATATTAGTACTTGCATAAATTATCTTAAATTCATATTTCTGATTATTATTGATTTACTTTTTTGCTTCAAATTTTTGATAAAACAATTTTTTTCTATTTGTTTTTTTTATGGGAGAATTACTTAGATAGAGTATATTTTAGGTGTATTGACCCGAATGCACCGAAACTTTTTTTAACCTTAGATGTTTTTTAATTACTAGCGTGCCCTTTTTACACGTTATCAGAAAAAACTAATTACGAAAAATGCCATCGCCACGTCAGACAAAATGGCGCGTGTCTCCAGTAACTCAGCCATAACATACGTTACAGCTGAGTTAGGTCACGTTACGGCTGAGTTCTGGGCCAACGGCTGAGTTTCGGGCCAACGGCTGACTTACGTCATAACTCAGCCAACAGTTATGGCTAACTTATAAAAATATGGCTGAGTTATGAGAAAGTGGCTAATAACTCAGCCGCCGTTACAGTTGAGTTATAGTCTGATGGTTGAGTTATCAGAAGTTTGGCTGAGTTATGTCTTTGACACGGCTAACTTAACTTTCTCCGGTTGGCTGAGTTATCAGATGTCGTTACGGCTGACTTATGTTTCAGAGACATAACTCAGTCGTAATTGGCTGACTTAACGGAAAACTCAACCATGTTACGGGTGACTTATTGACGAAAGATTTATTACTCATACAGTTTCCAGTTACGGCTGACTTATTTTACGTTACAGCTGACTTCTTGACTTTACTGCTGAATTTGACATCTTAAAAAACATTTTAGTAATTACTTATTTGTTTGGTGGCTGATTTACGACTTCAAATGAATAGTTCCACGTCAGCATTCCATGTCATCAACGAGGGAAATACGAAAGGTTGCCCTCTTCAAATCCTCATTTTTTTTCTTTCTTTTCTTACACTCTGTTCTTTTTCACCTGAGTTATTCACCTCGGTTCTTCATTTTTGTACATGGATCATCCGGTTCAATTAATTGTTGTGTTTGGTAATTGGACAAAGAAAGCGAAATATGTATTTAACGCCGACGATAGAGGTTGTAGAGTTGTGCAGGTAGATGCGGAAACAACGCACGAGAAGCTTGTGAAATTGGTTCTTGATGACTACGGATTGGATGAGTTAAGCCATAAGGTAACGATGAGCTACATGCTCTCGTACACGGCTATGAAAAATATGTCGTATGATACTCCCTCAGTATATGTCTTGAATGATCGACAGTTGCATTGTTATCTAAACCTATTGAGAAACGATCAACTATGACTTTGTGTTGAGTTTGCGAAGACAAAGGACAGATCGAATTGAAGGATGAAACGGCCACGCTGTTCGGCTTCTTCAGCCGTAGAAAACGAAGAAGATGCTCGAGGATTTGATGGATTCTGTTATGATTATAGTGAAACCTTAGAAGATGAAGTCAATGACGATCAAGCAGAGTACGAAAAAGCAGAGGAGGAAGAAGAAGATGACGACTTTTCAACCCAATTTGACGTTTTCGACGACTCCGATGGTGCGTCATCTGATAATGATAACTTTACTGCATACGGCGAGCATCAGGAGAACGATGAAGAAGACGAACATCAAATACGACTTTAGTGAATATTACATGCTGGGTTGAAGGATGTCTTTGGAGAGTTCGTGCATCTACAGAAGGAGATGAGCTTGGTTTTGTTGTTCGTATATATGATTCGATACACACATGTTCTGTGACATAGAGGTCTAATCGATCCAAACAAGCAACACCTGATGTTACAGGGACTTTCTTGGTGACATTGGTCCTGAAAGTGTTAAAATTATCATCAGTAAGCATTTTAGCATAAAGGTAATTAAGGCAGATATATCTTTACACTACGGCGGAGTTATATCCATAACGGCTGATTTATCTTTACTTGACGGCTGAGTTATTATTACGTTACGGCTGAATTATATTTATTTCAGCTGAGTTTTCTTTCCTTTACGGCTGGCTTTTCATTCCTTGACGGCTAAGTTATCATTAGCCCTGGGCATTCGGATACTCGGTTCGGGTTCGGGTAAAAACTGTTCGGGTTCGGGTTTCTCGGGTAGAGGAGTTTAGGACCCAATAGGGTAAACATAAAAATTCGGTTCGGTTTCGGTTCGGGTCCATTCGGGTTCGGGTCGGTTTGGGTATAAATTTTCAGAACCGTTAAAAATCCGAGAATTTTTCGGGTACACAAATATCCGAAAATTTACCCGAATACCCGAAAATTTTCGGGTAAATTTTCGGGTTTTCGGACAAATACCCAAAATTTTGGGTAAATACCCAGATTTTTGGATAAAAATTCAGAAATTTTATTTATAATTACCGGGATTTTCGGGTAAAAATCAGAATTTCGGGTATAAATTCGGATATTTGAATAGAGAACTCGGGTATTCGGGTCCTAAATTATTTAAATACATTTATATTTCGGGTATTTTCGGGTTCGGGTTCGGTTCGGGTTCGGATTCGGATTTTCGGGTAGAGGAGTTTAGGACCCAATAGGGTAAATCTAAAATTTCGGGTTCGGATTCGGGTCTAATTTTTCGGATCGGTTCCGGTTCGGATTTTCGGTTCCGGATTTTTTGCCCAGGCCTAGTTATCATAATGTTACGGCTGAGTTTCGTTCCTTTACGACTGACTTATATCTAGTTACGGCTGACTTATTAATATGTTGGTGCCTACAGATGGATTATTGGAAGTCATACAAGACGCTAAGGTTTGCAAGGAAGATCGACATGGGAACTCCAGAGGGAAGTTTTGGAGAATTGCTTTCCTACCTTTACATGATAAGACGGGCAAATCCGGGTACAATAACGCGTCTTCAAGTTGATGAGTGTGATAGATTCAAGTATGTCTTTCTTGCATTTGGTGCGAGTATTGCTGGGTTTGCTTACATGCGGAAAGTTATTGTTGTGGATGGTACGTTTCTCCACGGTAGTTACAAAGGGACGCTTCTAACAGCCCTAGCTCAGGATGGAAATTTCCAAATTTTCCCAATAGCTTTCGGTGTTGTTGACACTGAAAATGATGATTCTTGGCGTTGGTTTTTTACGCAACTCAAAGTTGCTATTCCCGACGACAAGAATCTTGCGATCATCTCGGATAGACATAAGTCAATAGGGAAAGCAATTGGTGAAGTGTATCCGTTGGCTTCTCGTGGAATTGGCACTTATCATTTGTATAAGAACATATTGGTGAAGTTCAAAGGGAAACATTTGTTCCCACTTGTGAAAAAAGTGGCTAGGTGTTTTCGGATGGTTGATTTTACAAAGGCATTCAATAAGATTGAAGCGCTTCATCCTCAACTACATGGATATCTCCAAAGAGGCTGGGTGCAAATCTGGGCGCGTGTACATTTCCCGGGTGAAAGGTACAACCTAATGACTTTAAATATTGTGGAATCTATGAACACAGCACTATCAAATGGTAGAAGTCTTCCCATAGTTCGACTGTTAGAATCCATACGGAATATGATGACTAGATGGTTTGCTGAACGGAGAGAAGATGCGAAATCACAGCTAACAACGCTTTCACGAGGTGTTGAAAAACTGTTAGAGGTAAACGTTGTATAACTCAGCCATAACATGCTTATAACTCAGTCGTTATTTATATAACTCACCCATAACGTTATTATAACTCAGTCGTTATTTATCTAACTCAGCCATAACATGCTTATAACTCAGTCGTTATTTATAAAACTCAGCCATAACATGTTTACATTATGAATATAACTCAGTCGTAACCTTTATGTTTTGTTCTTTCCTCTAATAGGGCCGTGTAACTGTATCAAGACTTATGGAAGTACAACCGATTAATGCTTTACGTGTACAAGTACAATATGGAACATCTTTGCATGTTGTAAATTTGGATCCAAAAAGATGCACATGCCATCGTCTCGACCACGGAAAAATACCTTGCTTCCATGCAATCGCAGCTGCAGAGCATATGGGTGTGTCTCGTATTTCCCTTGCCTATCCTACCTACCAGACCAGTTATTTGATTAACGCGTATGCTGATTCAATCATGTCTCCGGATGCTGCACTCCCTGTTCCTGGAATTGTAACTAACCAACCGTGCGTGCCTCCGATCATTGGAAACCAGCCAGGAAGGCCGAAGAAAATCTGGATTAAATCAGCTGTGGAAATTGACTTAAGAATAAACGCCCTAGGAAGCCACACGCATGTTCTCGATGTAAAGCAGTTTGGCATATTGCAAAAACTTGTCGGAAGTAGTATTGTTGGCATGGATTTTCTCGTTTTGATTATGTGTAGACAATGTTTGTTTTATGTAATCCATAACTCAGTCGTAACATCGATTTAACTCAGCCGTCCTATATATTTAAGTGAGTTATTACATGACAACTCAGCCGTAACATAAACTTAGTAAATTACAATTATGTTAGGTAACTCAGCCGTAAATATTTATGTTCTGATAACACAGCCCAATAAGGTTATTGATAACTCAGCCGTGACGCAACCTTTCGTCATCTTCCCGTGATTGATAACTCAGCCGTAACATAAAAACATACCACTCAAACCTTTCGTGATTGATAACTCAGCCGTAACGTGACCTTTCGTCTTCTTTTTGTATATGATAACTCAGCCGTATCATACCGCGAAAACCTAAGTTAATCATCGCGACCTTTCGTCTTCGTCTTTTCTCTCTTTCCCTTTATAAATCAGTTTTCTTATACCATAAGTCTTTTTCCCATTCATTTATCTTCATTTCATCTCTCATCAACATGGGAGTCGTTACTCCTTTGCCAGGACATGTTCTTAACGAGATTCACGCGATTCTTGCCGGACCTGGTCGGGATGATCTTCCCTTTCTAAACCCTGGTGTGGGTTTATATGATGCTTTCATTAACAAAAAAGAACCTATGTGGTTCAAGTTCCATCATTTCCTCTTCCAAGAGATCGAGTTTATACTTCGTCAGAACTAGCACCACGAGTGGCCGACTTATCGCTTGATTCCCGCCCACTTCAAGATACGATGGTTTAAAAATCCTCCTGGTAAGCACCATATTTTTTAGCATTTTCATTCATATTGTTCTTTTCTCTTAACCTAATTTTTTTTCTTATATGTAGCGCCAATACAACTGGGATCCAAGTCAAACGTTAATCGTTTGGAAGCATTTTAATTTGGATGCTAAATCAAGTTTCTATTGGCAGATGCGTGCGTTGAGGAGGATTTGGGCGAGAGGTGATGATAAGCCCGAGTGGTTGAATCCAATGGTTTGGGCAAATTTGGTGGATATGTTTCAAGAATTTGGTCTATCACTTCTAAGACTTATGAATGATTTGAATGTTGTTCTCAATTTCTTTGCTTTTGAATGTTGTTTCTTCTTTTTGTTTTGCTTTTTGAACTTCTTTGTAACCCAAAACAACTATCTTTTCTTTTGAATCATGTTGTTTCCTCTTTTATTAAGCAATTAACCAATCCTCATATAACCTGCTAAAAATGCGAATAACTCAGCCGTTATATGAACTCATAAATCAGTCGTTACATTCGAATAAAACATAACTCAACCGTAACTTGAACTCGTTTATCAGTCATTACATTCGAAAAAAACATAACTCAGTCGTAACATCTATATAACTCAGCCATAAAATAGAATAAGTCAGCCAGAACATATAATAAGTCAGCCAAACCTCAAATATGCATTATGTCAATTTGTTGTTAGAATCAAGTTATGAAATCACATAAATACTAAATTTAATTATGATACAATCATTGTACCATATTATTCATCAATATTGTAGATTTTGTTGGATACTTTTCAAAAACTATCTAACATAATCGTTATATTTCTATACCCTAAACTAGTTTCTAGTCAAAACCAGCACTACATAATGAATTGGTTGTAATTGTGGATTTTTTGATTTTTTCAAAATTATAAGTTTTACCTTGCATATTTGCTGCAAAAATATATATATATATATATATTTATATATTTATATTATATGTTATATCCATATTATAATTATATAATTGCTAATTAAAATTTAACTCATAACTCAGCCGTAACTTTCCATATAACTCAGCCGTAATTTTTCGTATAACTCAGCCGTAACTTTCCGTATAACTCAGCTGTAACTTAGCCGTAACTCAACTGTAACATAATCAGAACTCAGACTAACCCATTTTCATTAAACATGAGAAAGAGCTCTAAAATTGTTGGTTAAAGAACACAAATTACAACATAATCAGTCTAAAAATGATGAAACATGATGCAAACAACAATTACATTCTCTTCCATAGCCATACAATTGCGATTCCTATTACAGAGAGTAGACAAATTGTCTTAAAAGCTGTCTTACCCATATCATCCTCAATCTTCTTCCTCAATTTTTCCTCAAGCTTCTTACCCAAATCTTCCTCAAGCTTGTCAAACATTTCTTTTTGGAGATATAAATTTTGAGTAACATTATGCCTTAAGTCTGTCACATCTTCTTCTATTCTCTTTACCTTTTCGTCGACCATCTTAATTTCTTCAACCGATGCCTCATCAACCTATTTGAAGAAATGTGATTCATTCGGCCTCTACTTAACAAAAAAAAACAAAAAATTCACATCGGTACCCATATGTTAGCAATAAATAATTAAATGAAAATTACTACCTTCAAAGCAATCGAGCATCTATAGAAGATACGGTAAGGGTTTTTGAAAGACCCCATCCCGGATATTCTAAGTCCGGAGAGGTAACCTTCGATCTAATAACCAACTATCCATACTTAACCAAGTTTTAGGGCCCATTCCTTAGACAATTTATTTGTAATAATTCTGGGATTCATTTTTTAGAGTCGATATGCAAAATATAGAGTAAAACAACCATTCAAATACTTTATTAATAAGTAAGGATTCGATACAACTTATGAGTTTGCATATAAGCTATTACAAGTTGTATAATCGATCTAACTACCCAACATCCATCACCACTCATCTTCCCGGCCTTGAGTCCTCGCGCCTAAGCCCTTTCATCCCCTCGATCACCTTCTTTCCCTGAAACCACATAGGAAATCAGTAACATGTTTACTTAATCACCATCGTTTTGCATGCAAAGCTCGCTAAGTTACACTAACAACTCTGCCCGTTCAAATGTTTGGTAGAGAGGTAGTCCGCGCATCAGTTCGGTCGAGTATCATCAATGATTCAACTCACCGAGCCGCGTTCCCTTTTCTCCGAACAATCTATCCGAACAAAGTTATGCATATGATCATGCTTATGCAACTATCGAATTTCTATGCACCCCCCCCACAACCGATCTTATGGTCTCGGTATTAACTTTTTATCGGATTCCGACTTTCCTTAGTATTTCTCTCGAAGTTAAATTCAAGAATAATAAGTATTTCCGATCTCCGAACGTGCCCCAAAACTGAAGACGAGACTCACTATTTCTAGTGTCTCGGCCAACCCTTCCGTTCGAAAAGGCACCTGGTCGATGCACCTTTCACTCGCACCGATTTGCTGGTATCCTTCCATTCGTACCGTTTCACTGATACATGTTCGCTCTTCCTTTGGTAACCGTCCAGTTAGCTCGTTCGGTGAGTAAACATCACAACTTCTTTGACTAGCGGACAGCTGGTCGAGCTTTCCAAGCAACTGGTTGAGCTGGTGTTACTTCCGGGCAGCTGGGGTCGAGCTGGTACCACTACCCGGCAGCTGGCCGAGTTAGTTTAACTGATCTTTTCAGCTGGATTGTTCGATCAATACTTCTTCCTTTTCCCTTTTCCTACATTTCGAGCTGGTAGTCAGCTCCGTTTTAGACTTGTTCGAGTTTTCCCCTTCATTCTCGAACTAAGTCTCGACCAACGATCCTATTCGGGATCGCGGGCGTTACAGTTTTCCTTTGTCTTCGATATGTATGTGATGATATCGTTACCACACCAACATCCGCAATTCGTCGGAAGATCTGGAGGGTAAGCATCATGTGCTGAATGATATGAACTCGACGAGTAGTCGCTCATTATTAAAAGATGGGAACTGGAACCCAGAAATCACAGGCAAACCCAGAAATCGAAAGAACCCTAAATAACTTCTTAATTATGTGTAAAAGGAAGAAGAAACAATAAACGACGTCGTCTGGGTTAGTCTCAGCAAACCTACATATTTAATTTACGATAAGTCAGCCAAACCTCAAAATCTGCCTAACTATAACTCAGCCAAACCTCGAATCTCAAATTCAAACCCATAACTCAGGCGTAACATTTACATAACTCAGCCATAACGATGAAAAATAACTCAGCTGTTACACTTCAATAACTCAGCCAAACCTCAAATTTGAAATATAAGATTATTCATACATTCATGTTATTACGCCACTTAGATGAGATGAAATTAACATTTTTATTCAATGGTGACAATGAATATAATTAAATTAGCTCGTATTTATACCTTTTAAGACTTAGGTTTACTACAAAGAGATATTACCCTTAAATGCTTGTCCCATTACTAGGCAGATAGTGTAATACACTAACGTAATATAAATTTATCTTGCATATTAGTTTAATTTATCTTTTATATTACAAAGCCACAATAATATATATCCTAATACCCTAATATTAAGTTAATTGTTGAATTAAAAATACTTGTTTATTGTTAAATTTAATATGTCTTTCATAACTCAGCCATAACTATATTCATAACTAAGCCATAAGTATATACATAAGTCAGCCATTACTATATTTATAACTTAGCCATAACAAAAACACAAATCAGTCATTAGAAAAACACAAATCAGTCATTACAAAAACACAAATCAGCCATAACTTCAAATATTCTATTATCATAATAAGTCAACAAAAAATAATATTACATAAACAGGTCATACATATTCAGAGCTTCAACCATAATGTATGCGGCCATCTTTAGCCATATAGCCTGCATATTTGAATCACATAGGCCATCGAAACTTACACCAAGCGCTAGGCATTCCAAATATTTAAGAGCGTACACGCCACAGTCACCCGGGTCTCTGTTTTGAGGGACCTTCGAGACACTCCTCCTTCTGAAGGAAAACATCTTGGAACTATGTGCACGGAGTGAGGGAGGGACTATTGCGTTCAGCATTTCTGGAATCATACGCGCAAACGGCTTAACAAACTTCATGATTCTAGCTTCACTTTCAGGTGTTACGTGTCCCACAATGCTATCATATACATCAATATGGCTCTTAATCAGGTTCACTTCTAGCGCCACCCAATGATCACCTTCGGTTTGTATAACAAAATACACTACATCCACATCTTGTATCCACATCAGACCTGTGGGCTGATCTTGCGGCATTTTCCCATTCACAATGTCCTCATAGGGTCCATTGAATTTAAACCTTTTTGGTCTAGTAATGAATGTTTCATTATGATCCTGAATGAGTAAAGCAGAAAAACACGGGTCTATAAACGCAATGCATTTAGTGTGGTATGGGGAGGGCTCTTCCATGGACCGTTTCCTGAGGAGTCTCATATAAGCACCCAAATGCTGTAAAAAACGATAAAGTTAAACTCAACCATAATGTAATAATAACTCAGCCATAATGTAATAATAACTCTGTTGTAATGTAATAATAACTCAGCCGTAACGTAATAGTAACTCAGCCATAACGTTATAATAACTCAATCATAACATAATAATAACTCAGCCATAATGTAATTATAACTCAGCCATAACGTTATAATAACTCAGCCATAACGTTATAATAACTCAGCCATAACATAATAATAATTCAGCCATCACATAATGTAAAACTTACTTCGTCCGTCAGCCATCCATACTTGGTGTCCTTAACTGGCCAGTACCTTCTTTCAGTGATGAGAATCTTATATAATTCAATGTCACGTGAGGACTTGCCATATGGGATATTCCTAAAAAAAACACACTTTAATATATATATATAGGGTAAAGAAGCAGTAATCAACTGGATCATAAGTATGAATGACATACTTGTGTGGAGTTAAGAAATCCAATACTCTCTGCAATTTGGTCGGATCAACAAAGGCGAGAGGATCATATATTGCAACTAAAGGTCCACAACTCTACCTCATTCACGTAAGTCTGTTATCTCCAATCAATGGAAAAATATGAGGACTTGCCCGTAGATACAATGAACTCCCATCAGTAGCAAACTTCAAATTTGCTGTTCTTATAGCTTTAATCCTTTCATTCCTAATCTTTTCTTCTTCATCATCATCAGATTCAGGTAAGACTTCGAAAGTATCAAAAGGATTATTATCTGTGATATCCTCTAAATCAATGTCAGCCGCTTTGTTGTCCTCTTTCTTTTCCTCAACCTCCTTAACCTCTTTGTTTTCCTCAACCTCCTTAACCTCTGTCTTTTCTTCCTTTGGGATTTTTAGCCTCATAGTAGGAATCTTACCAACACTTTCCTGAACATCTTCCACTAGATCAGAAGGAACATTTACTTTGAGCTGCTTCACATCTTTAGGCTTTCTACCTCTCCTCTTTGTCTCCTCTTTTCTCTTTGCTTCAGCTTCTGCCCTCTTCTTTTCCTCTACTTCTTTCCTGTTCTGAGCATCTGCTTCTTTTTTCTTTTGTGCATCTTCTTTCTTTTTTTGTGCCTCCTCTTTCCTTTTATGTCCCTCCTCTTTCCTCTTTTGTGCCTCTGCTTCTTTCCTCTGTTGTGCCTCTAAATTCCTCGTCAAAGGCCGCGTTTTCTTAAAGCAGGAGAGAGAGACTTCTCAATGAAATCAGCAAGATCTTCTTTGGTCGTGTTGGCCTCATCGAAATCCTTATTCATATTCTTATTGCACCAAGGAATATTACTATTCTGAACTACTTCTTCTCCTTCTTCCTGAATTTTCTTCTCATGCAACTTCATAACATAATAATAAATCAGTCATAACATACAAAAACTCAGCCATAACATAAAACAACTGAGCCATAACATACAATAACTCAACCATAACATACAATAACTCAGCCATAAGATACAATCACTCAGCCATAACATCAAACAACTGAGCCATAACATACAATAACTCAGCCATAACATACAATAACTCAGCCATAACATCAAACAACTCAGCCAAAACATTGAATAACTTAGCCCTAACATAAAAATAACTCAGCCATAATATAACACAACTCAGCCATAACATACACTATAACTCAGCCATAACGTTATAAGTATTCTCAGCTTACCGGGGGACTAGTAACAGAGTAGTCTCGGCTTGACGTTTTCCGTTGAAATTCAGGTGTCTGTTGTTCTGTTTTTCTCTCAAAAGCATCCCTAATTCTGATATTGGGGATGGTCTGGATTGGTAATGGTTCGCTCTCAGGAATCTTTTTGCCACTCATGAGACCAGCTAGGCCTCCACTTTTGGCAAGGATGGAAATGATGTCTTTCATCTTACTAAATTCTTCATCAACATTTTTGAACTTATCATCAACATTTTGCAACTTATCATCAACATTTTGCAACTTAACGTCAAAGGTAACCGGCCTTGAGTTCATGGTAGACACCATATCCAGGAGTAATTTAATTGACGACTTTTCACCACTATCGTCCTCCTCACTATTAGCCTACAAAACATACACAAAAACTGATAATCAAAACGTGAAAATCCATGCCAATATATATGACTATATAACATATAACTTACCTTTACTTCACTCTTCTCCTTCTTCTTCTTCTTTTCAGTTACCTCTTTTCTCTTTTTCTTCTTCTGTGCATCTTCAGCACCAGAATCAACACCCTCTCAACTTTCTGCTTCTTAGCAGGAGATTCAGACTCAACCGCTGCTATAACATTTCCAGCTTTCTTCTTCTCATTTGCTTTAACATCCCAAAGACCTTTAATAAACACATCCTTATGTATGTCATTGACCAAGTTGGAAAGTTCTGAGTCTTCTTCTTCTTGATTTGGCCACGTATGAAATAACTCACTTACATCACCCTTCATCACCATTTTACTCACACGCACCTACATTAGAAGACAAACATCAGTAGGTATAACTCAGCCATAAGTAAATAATAACTCAGCGATAACAATATTATTACCCAGCCATAACTAAATTATAACTCAGTCATAACTAAATTATAACTCAGCCATAAATAAATTATAACTCAGCCATCACTAAACTATAACTCAGCCATAAGTAAATATAAGTCAGCCATAACTAAATCATAACTCAGCAATAACTAAATGTAAGTCAGCCATTTAAAACTCAGCCATAATCTTACCTCACCATACTTTCTGATATCTTCAGCAATGGCCTCATCGAATGATGCACGTGTACGGGTTCCACGCCATCGAAGCAACGGGATCTCTTCATTGTCGACTAAATTCCCATATCGCTCTCCTAAGCATTTTATTGAATCATATGCCCAAGCTTGTAACACGTAAACCGGCCCACCAAGGGTGTACGTCTTACCTGAAGGATTGAAGCACTTTATATTATCGACGAGAGTCTCAAATGCTACCCGACCCCATGGATAAGTTTGCATGGATTCATCATCAAGAACTCTTTTTGCAGCTTCAAATGGTATCCTTGAGTTATTATGCACGCAATAAAGTGCAATGGCTAGAATAATCAATAGCCCCAACCATTTGCGCTTCTTTACAGACCATTTTTGGCACACTGATAGTCCTCTAAGTAGCTCATCATATGTTGGACCTTCCCCACCAGGCACTTTCAATTCTTCTGTTAAGAGTTGTTTGTAGTCAACTGAAGGTTCAAACTTCTCTGATGGAGTTGAATCTATGTTTAACCCAGTGAGGTGAGCAAATTCATTCAAGCCAAACCTTATAGGCTGGCCACAAACTAAACACCAAATCTTCTTGTGTTTTATTCTCAACTGTCTACTCAAAAGAAAGTGTACAGTCTTAGCAGACCAAACGAATTTGCTTTCAACTAACTTAGCAACTATTCCAAGAGGTAAATTCTTGATTTCATCCCACGTGTCTTGTCCAATTTATTCCCTAACCCCAGGGAAATCTGTCATCCTAAAATAGGTACACATGCCTTTATTCTTGAGCCTAGACATCCCTTCTTCGTAAAGTCTTCGTGGATAACGCATTGCTTGTTCTGAAGCCATCTGAAATAAGTATAAACATATCATAACTCAGCCGCAACATACAACAAACTCAGCCACAACATACACTATAACTCAGCCATAATGTATACTCTAACTCAGCCACAACATAAGCACTATAACTCAGCCGCAACATAAACTATAACTCAGCCGCCACATACAACAAGCTTATAATTGAGCCATAACAAATACTCTAACTCAGACGCAACAATCACAAACTGAGACAATTCAGCGATAACATAATAAGTAACTCAGTCGTCGAATCGATAGATCTAACAAACCAGCCATCAAGAATACTTTAACTAAGCCGTCGAATGAATAGATCTAATGACGGCGACAATCAGCCGTAATAAGCAAAAACAAACACGATTATAGTCGGAAAAACTCAATATACAGTTCTACACTTACCGGGATACGAAAGGTCTTGAATGTATTCTTCAACGACGATGAACGGCGACACACAGCGACTTAGGACGACTCACGGCGACTCACGGCGACTCACGGCGACTGCTACTTAGAGCGAGACAGAGAGAGCGTAACTCGTCGTGTTCAGCGGCGAGTAATGTATTTGGCGGCGGCGGCAAACTCGTCGTGTTCGAGAGAGAAAGAATTTTTTTTTCGATTGTGAACAGTTACGAAAGAAATTGTTCAGTTTCCCTCTTGATCATTAATGCTAGAATAACTGGCAATGATGATGTGGCAATTTTGATAATGACGTGGCAATTTCGGGTATGACGTAGCATTCGGATTTGACATGACAATTAAGTGAAATATGAACAAGAGTGTTTACTGTAATTACACCCATCCCACTAAACATCTAAAGAATAAAAAAAAAAGATTTGTTTGTTTAAGGAATAAACACACAATTGTTCTCTATCTAAATGACTTCTTTTTTGTTCACTATTATTTCTTTGATTCGAAATGTTTCCCATTCCTTTATGATTTTTATTTTATTTTATTCGAGGTTATAATAGTGTTTTCTTTTTTTGTGTTACATTATTTTGCCGTGTTTTATACTGACTGCGTTCACTCGTAGTTGTTACAATAATGTAATGGACGAGATATTTGGAAAATTTATAAAAATATAAAAAAGAATGTGAAATATGATGAGATTCGATTTACAAAACTAGCATAATCAAATTGGATCCCACTTGTGCATGAATGAAGATAACATTTTTTTCTTTCTGACAAACACATTATGAAACTTTATGTTAGTTCACCTGCCTTCTCTTCTCTTCTTTACTTCCCAATTCCGATTAAATGAAGCTGCAAACAATAATAACATTTTGAATTCCAACACAAAACTCTAACAATGGTAAACAATAAAACAAAGTAAAACTTACGAGATTGTTAATGGGCTTCTTCCAGTAGAATCCATGAATGATTAGAAAGACAAGATTGCAAGCAATAAGAACGTAGATTAGTAAGGCATGTATTCCCATCCACTCTAAGACAAGACTTGCTCGTTTGTAACCATAAACGTCAACCTGTGAAGATTGTAAGAGAAAGATATTTTACATTTTAACAATGTGATGCTTCTTAGTCTCACAGTATCTTGTATGTCATTAAGAGATGCAAGATAATAGCAAACCAAACCATTAGGTATATCGCGGATAAGAGAAATCCAGAGGCGCCTACGGTAACACACATGTAACTCAATGTGTATAGAGGTTTATTTAGATGCATGCCTGCAAGGAATCGAAAAAACGAATGTGACAATGAACGATATTTCAATATGACAAGTTGATAAGGTATTTTGATCTTCCAATGAATTAGGACCAAAAATTATGTAAATGAGAGTTATAAGAGTCAAGAAAAATACCAAAGAGGTCTAGTGCAAGGCCTAACATCAGAAGACAAAAAGAACGTGAAATCCATTGATTCAAACGCTTTTTATGGTCCTGTAAGAAGTTAAGTACAAAGCAATATTAGTAAGTTTCTAATAAGATCAGAAACAAATGCTACAAAACTGATATTCTTATTCCAATTCACCAAAACCATAGAGACTAAGACTATGTTAACGGGAGAATTGTAATGTCTTATATTATGGAAGGCTCGTTACCCTTACTAACGTCTCTCTAACCAACTCACAACAGCTGTAATCTGCTACTTATAGGAGGCATATAGCTAAGAGTTGAGGAGCTGAACTTATTCAAAGAAAAATAAAGATATATTTACCTTGAAGTGGATGATAATATGGCCATAATGCAGACCAACTAGGCATGTAACCGTGGCCATCAACGAACTACAATCGACCAAAGTTATTTTTGTGAGCAATGATAAAGCACAACTTGCTACTTAATATTTTTAGATAGTAAAAGCAGAGACCTTAAGAGGCCTTCCGGGTCAAAAGGCGCTTGACACCAAGAAGGAGCATCTGGAGGTAATGGCCCATTGTTCGGAAAATTTATACTGCATTGCTGAAAAGATATAAGAAATCAAATGATATGGACTTAAAACAAATACTGAGGAAAAAAAGACATGAGTTATATCAAGAACCTTGGTTCGTGCATATGCGGGTTTCCTGTACAAATGCTTGATTCCTAGAAACATTCGGTCAATCATTCCAACTGCATTGCAGCCTGGTCCGGTGTGTCCTCGTACCCCGCATTTCACTTTCAGATTCTAAGCAGTTGTAAAGATTATCAATGCTATGAAGAGTGATAATAAGGAATGTTATGTAGAAGGAAAAAACACTATCTAACCAAGAATGTTGTCAATGTTGATGCTTGGTCTTCGGTTGAAATCTGATATTCCCAGTCCGGCACATATAAACCGTATAACAAGGACAAATATATTGTTGTAATAACAAATGCAACCACCCTGTCGATGAGACCATGATAAATTCAAGCAAGTGCTTAACTATTATTGTATACAAATGCAAGAATATAAGACAGTTACCAATGAAATCTGTATTTCTTGATCATAGATAGCTCTGAGCTGACATTATGGTGCCCCTTTAACCAAATCTCACACAGTGCAGCAACTAAGTAGGCTATTGCTATTCTCTGAAAAAGAGAGGCTACAAATTTACAATGAGAGTTTAGGAACACATAAGTTTCAATGTTACTCTAGAATAGATCATATACCTGTAATATGCCCATGAATCTAATTTTTTCTACATCTATTCCATAAGTTAAGTTGTTGAGACCATGAATAAACCCTCCTGAAAACTTAAACAAAACGTTAATAAATACATATGTATCACCATCACCAACACATTGAGTTCAAGAAGACAAACCAAACCTTGGAGAAAAAGACCAAGTAAGAGAAGTTTCAAAAATCGAATAAAAGCTTTTTTAGTTGCAGCAAACCTACATGACAAGTTCTGTAACCAAAACAAATCAAGTTAGTGATGAACTTACTCAGTCTTACAAAAAAGATAAGAACATACATACAACACAACAAAGTCCCAAGATTACCTTATAAGCAAAGGCAAGAGAGACACCAACAATAAACAAGAAAAAAGGCATGACAAAATCCGCTAGTGTAATACCATCCCAAGGAGAATGATTAATAGCTGGTAAGATCCCTCCAACATCATCAACAAGTATCATCAACTGTTAAACAACAATCCAATTACATCGCTAATTAAGGTATTAGAAAGCGATTAATTTCAGACAGAACATACTTACCGCGACGGTAAGGCCACGGAAGACATCAAGTGAAACTAATCGTTCCTTGTCGGGAAGAGGAAGAGAAGAACGAGAAATCTGAAGAGCAGCAGACTCAATATCTTTCTTCTCTCGACATTGATAGTCATCATCAACATCAATGCCTTTGATTGGTTCGTACATCGTTAGTTTCGTTCGCATCACAACAAATTCATCTACTGCAGCGTCTCTATATATATTTATAATTAGAAAAAAAAAATTATATCGAATTTTTAAAACCTTTGTCAAGTAAGAAGAGAAACACAGAACATGAATGTGATTTGCCTTAACGAGAACGGTTGGAGACTTGGAGTGAGCCTCTTGAACCGTTTGTTATTGTCCAATAACTTGAGATTTTGCACGTGGCTTGGTCGTGATTGGACCTTATCCAAACTTGATTCGTTCACAGCGGCTACTGGTTATTCTCTTTTCCTTTTGTGGGCCTGCAAGTAAGAGAAACCCACGCTAAGTAGATAAAAAAAGCTAAAATTTATCATCCTAAATTACTAAAATGTAAAAAATCATATAACTTTTTCTTTTTTTACTGTGTATGATTTGAACTTCATAAAGAACTAAAATCATCTCTATTAGGAGGACATGGTCAAAATCTAACTATTACCGTATTTAATCAAACCATCTCTCAACCGTAACCGTATAATACGGTTAAAAACCGTAACCGTAATAATAAATCAGTCACGTTTATTAAACAACACTAACTTTTAACAAGTACAAATAAAATTAAAAATCTGATATTTCAAAATAGTATATTTTGTACTAAATAAAACAATATTAATTCAGTTACATTTTTATTAAATTCGAAAATAATTTAATATTTGGAATAATAAGTATTTAGAATAATATTAATAGATAAATTAAATTTATGCCCAATGGAGCTTATTATATAGATAATTTTAATTTATGACTACCTAAATAAATAACAACTTAGAATTATAGAAATTTATTTAATATAATAAAAGATGAAAATATGGTTAATTACAAAAATTTGCACCACTTTTAATATTCCCGCAAAAAAAAAATTCTGCCAAAAAATTTCCGACAAAAATTTTCCTGCCAAAATTATTCTGCAATTCCTTAAAAAAACTTTTTTAAAAAGGTATTTTTAAAAGAGGGTATCATAAAAAGGTTATTGGTGTCATTTTCTCATGTGCCTCTCATTTGAAAACTTATTCACTTCAATTTCTATTTACAAAAAAAACTACTTTTATTTTCTTTTGTTTATTTTAAAGGGAGTCTCAGGGTCTTTATGGAAGTTTTCTAGGTTCCACTGAAGGAGAGTCACTAAATCTATGATCGTTAAAATGCAAGTCCGGCAGATAGCTAAAGCTGAACATAATTTAATTCGAGAGAGGCAAAAATAGTAAACAAGATAGAGTAGAACATTGCGAAATATCCTGCCAATTCAAACAAATAATCCCCTAAATTATAACTGTATATGTACAAGAGATAAACACACATTTCCAGCTTGTTATATATAGGGACCGTGACACCCTTAATCCGTTTTAATACTAAGAAAGAAACAAAGGTTTCACATCAGCGATCATAATTAATAAACAGAGGTTCCATGACAAATATATTAGCCTAATTCGACTGAACACCAGTATCACTATCTAAACATGGCATACAACTTTTAAACTCCTACTACGATCGTGATCGGGGGACTAATATATCATTTGGACACCTTTGAGTTTTAGATAAAAACCACTTCTTCACTTAGTATAGTATTGTTCATAAATCCTTAACAAATCATCTATAGAATGATGTGCAAGCAACTTAATTGCAAGTGATGATTACTTACAAGAGATAATTATGATTTGTCATGAAGATGACAAACTGCAATTTTTATTTCGATTTTTTTTTCAGATCTCTTTGCTTTGATTTTTTTTTCTTTCTAACTTCTGGATAATTTCTATAAAATCTCAAAACAGATTGCAGATATTAAAAATTAGAGAAAAGATGATTGATGAAAAATATTTAGAGGTCTTAGTCCCATATAATAAAGATAGAAACTCACAGTTAGATTGTACACCATACGACGAAGATTAGATGATTTGGATATTTGTTGATCTCAATCTGATGTTTGATCAAGTTTTCTTTTTTTTTTTTGGTTATTTGTTTTTTTCATGACATCGGTATTTTCTTATTTGACTATTTCTCGTTTCGGCATCTATTTTTTTTATTTTTTTTTTGGCATCGTTTCGGCATCTATTGAAAAATTAATTCTAACGATTTATATATACAATTTTTCTTTATCTTTCTTTTTAGATGGAATTTCAAAAATACCTTTTTTTCAATACCACTTTTTAAAAATACCCTTCTTTCTAGTTTTATGAAAAAGTCACTATAAAATTTAAAATTTATCAAAACAATATATGTAAGTTTATATTTATAGATACAAATTATCATTATATATGTATAATTTTAGATATATATTTCATAAATATCGTATAAATACCTTTTAAAAACTTTTTAAAAATCATTTAAAAACCTTTTAAAAACTTTGTAAATCTTATAAAAACCTTATAAAAACCTTATAAATGCCGTTTAGAACCTTTTAAAACCTTATAAATATTTGGATTTAGTCTCCCAGTAGTATTGATAATCTTGATGTACCTTATCAACCATATAAAGTTTATAATTTTTCATATTTGAAAATGGGTATTTCTAAAAATGGATAGAAAAAGGGGTATTTTTAAAAATGGGTACACCAAAAGGGGCATTTCTCAAAAATTATCTTTCTTTTATAAGTTAGTAATGGATATTTACAATAAAAATATTGTATAAAATAATCAAAATCTTTTTAAATTTTATTTATACTGGGAAAATTAAATATGTTCTGTTTTATATTCTAATAACCATCTAAATTTGTATTAAGTAATTACCTTTACCAGAGTGATTTTTAGTTAATATTAATAGAATATTATTCACCCACCAACAATTGTATTAATATTTGTTGAAAAAAAAATTTGTATTAAGATTTTGTATTCTGTTGTTTTTGTTGGTACATATTAATGAAATTTCCTATTTTCTGTATTGTAAAATTAAAAACAGCATATAAATCTAATATTTTTAATAAAATATTTGAAAAAGCATTATTTTCTAATAAGTCTTACCGATAAATGGTTGCCAATATTTACACCATAAAACTACTACACCTTATTAAATATTCTTACACCATTCTAAATTAAACACATTTGATTTGGAAACACAACAACTAAGAAACAAGCTATAAAGTTTTTAGGTAAAGTAGAAATCATAATATGAAAACAATTTATTAGTCAAAAATAAGAATAATTTAGTGTTTTAAGGTTAGGAAATTGAAACCGAAATAAAATGTATCAAAAAACTGTCTCACGGTGTAGCACGGGTCAAAACCTAGTGTGTATAGTGGTACTTTATACTATATTCAATCATAGAAGAAAATTTATCAAATCTCACATTTTTAGTAGTTTTTTTTTTTTGCAGTTTTCCATCACCTAGATTTCTTCTTATTTTACATACAAGTTTTAATTTCTATTATTCCAAAATGAATCAGTCTTACCAAGTTTTAATTCACTCAATATGCTAATCCAGAGTACATATATTTCTATAAAACTTGAATATGTTTTGATTTAATCATTTTTATATATCATTTTTACACGCTTATATGTTTCTCCTTAATGATCATTTACCATAACCTTTTTTATCGGCATCAAACAATGAAAACATGTTCTTACTCTATAATTATAAAATCACCATTCTAGTTCTATTAAAATTACAAATTATTTAAATTTTTATTAGCGGGTTAAAGAATAAACATATTAATTAATTTTTTTTGAACAAAAAAATAATTTAATTAATTTAATTTAATTATATAATGAAAATATATTACTATTTTTTTTTTAAATGAATAACTAGTCAAATAAACATAGAAGATTTGATATCTAACTTAAACATATTAATTTGTTATTAATTATTATATTTCACCTTTTATCTTTATATGGTAACTCATCATATCATTCATATAATAATAAAAATGTAGATTTTGCACGCATATGCAATTATTTAATTTTTAAAAACGAATATAAATTTTTCAATTTATAAAGAAAAAAAAAGAAATTGTAATGGGTCAAACATACTTGAATAATATACTTATTGAATTCAAAATCAGAAATATTAATTATTGTATGTATTTTTCTTCTAAAAAAATAGTTCAAGTTTAACGTCCAAAAAAAAAACCTGGTATTTTTCGGGGGTTTTCCCTTAATTTTTTGTCACTAAATCAAACAGCGACTGCAATAGGTCTCCGACGTCCATCTTCTGCAACTGAAGTGTCCAGCCTCTATTTCCAACGATTGCAATTTTCTCGACGTTATTTTTCGTAAATGTCGTTATACCAGTAATAATATTTTACTGTGTAACTTTTTGTTTGTGAAAATTCGAAACATAAGTATCATCTATTTATCCACATGATCTATTCTACTAAAATCTGATGACCATGGCTTTCTACTCTTTCTTTGATGCTTCGAGAAATGATTCTTATCTATGACCTAGAAAGAAAATGCTGATTGTCAAGACTACGAACAGAGTTAGTTTATCTAATTTATTGCTAGTTTTGTTGGGATCCAGTAACTAGGTCATATCAATGTGGTAATCCTTGTGAAGTTATGGGCCTAAACCATTCTTGAATCTTCCAATGCATGTTTGCACCAAACTCTGAGATGCAAATGTTGTTCCTCCATACAAAATATGAACGTGCGGCCAGCTTAGTATCCTCTACATCAGCCTTAAAGTCACGTCAATTCTACAAAAGTTTCTCCAAATAACATATCGCCAACATTCAAAACAATGCAGATCCTCATACTACTTATAAGTCATAATAGCTTTCTCTACACTTGTTACTGTTTAATTTTTGTTTCCTTATGGTTTCAACTGTATATGGAACGGGTAGGATTTATTCCAAGTTTAAGGATTACAAAGAGAACCAACTTAAACGCAAGGCGATATGAAACCACAGAGTTACAAAGTAATAAAGTGACAGGAAATGTCAAGCTGAGTTTCCGGTTAAATCTTATTCGGAATCATTTAGATAAACAAAGAAACAACCTTATGCTCCTGTAGCTCCAGATTTCACAAGGTTTTCAAGGGCCTTTACAATCTGTGGCTCGCTCAGACCATCCAAGTTTACACACCTCTCCACACCCATATCTGCACAAGGGTTTACGAGCCAAGCACAAATTAACGGAATAAAACAAAACACAGAAATATAAACACCAGTTCCTAAGTAGAATCGAGGATGGCAGTTTTAACAGGCATCCATAGAAAAACTAGACAATACTTGACGTTTAGCAGTCATGTGGAGCGGAGTTTTAAAGCAGTCGCATCTACCATGGATTAAACAATTGTTCATTCTCTGATCTCAACAGCTACACAACTTCCTAAACATGCCAGTTACATGGGTACAAATCTCTTTATGCAGTAGGAGAGACATGGTTTACAATATCTATAATTTACTACATGATGGGAGTGGGAACACAGTTTAAAAAAATGTTCAAAGTTCTCTCAGATGCAGATATTTGAATACTTTTAGTTGCTCAAGACACTGATATGTGATTACTATAAACTTCGAAACAAAACCAAAGTATACGTGAACAAACGAATAACCGCAGTAGGCAATCGAATGAACTATAAGATTTTAGCATTCACATAAAACACAACAAAGAACTAGGGAAAACAATCCTCATGTTAAAAGCACAAGCCAATATGCATAGTGGTTACACACAATACATTTTCATCAAAGACAGAGACTCTTAAGGGTGAGTGTGTACTTCAAATTTAAACTCAAGATGTTAAAAGGCTCTTCCATATAACAAACTAAATACCGACTAAAGAAGAAGCCTTATCTGTTATCACCAATGTGCACATTCATCTCAAATATTTAAAAATCATACACCTCACATTTTAACACTGATATATGACTACCATATAGCAAAGAAAAATAAAGAAAACGCAAGAAAGAAGTAGAACAACCGCATAGGCATTCGAACAAACCATAAATTTTCGGCATTCACAAGCAAAAGCCAATACTCATAGTGGTTACACAATACATGTATCAATGCACAAGGCTCTAAGAATGAGTATATACTAGTGTAATGGGTTAACACAAAATGTTATAAAGAGACTCATACATACAAAAACGAATGCAGAAACAAAAGAAGAAGCCACATCCCTAGCTACACTTATACCAAATCTTTAAAGAAACTTAAAGCACCAAATAAACAATTTGAGTCAAATAGATTAAGCAATTTACCATATCTTGCCCACATCTGAGGCTGGATCCCACTACATTCACGGATCAAGATTGGGAATTTAGGGTTTAGAGACTTCAAATCTTTGTAATTCTTCTCTACAAAAGTTCTGAAAAGGAAACAAAAACCCTAAAAAATCAAAAAAGCCGATGGAAATGGAACATTGACAAACAAAAATCTCCGATCTCAGAAATTGCTTTGATTAAATTGAAACCTGGCCGGAGCACTCGCCGGAGACGATTGACATAGAAGGATCCTTAGCTCTTTCATTGACTTCGATATGCTTCCTCTCCATGCCATCTCGCTCTTCTTCTTCTTCCTCTCAAACTCTCTTCAGATGCCACAAAACAAAGACCAGACGACAGAGAGGAGAGAGAGAACTGTGTTCTTCTGGTAAAATATAATTTGGCTTAGGCCCATTAGGCCCATTAGTGTTATAGGATAAGCCCATTAAGGTTATTGGGCTTGAAAGTGAGTCGGTTTAGTTAGGTTTAGAGGAAAGAAAAAACTAGGTCACGTAATATATTCTTCATTCTCTGCCACAATTGCTTTGATTATTCAATAAACAAAGTTCTCGAAGGCTTCGCGTAGCTTCTTCATCTTCTTCCTCAGGTGCTTCACGATCTTCATCTTTTTTTTTGTTATCGATTCGTAATTGTTTTGATTTGCTTATTCGTTCGATTGATCAAATCTGTGATCTTGCTTTGTGTTCATCGTTGTATGATTGTATCTTTGTTTTCTGGAATTTTCGATTTTATTGGATCAAATATCATCTGAATTTTGGGTAGACATCGTTTGTGTTCATCTTTGATAATTATTTTGAATTAAGTTTGATTTAATGGTTAGATTAGTTATTTCGTGAGATAAAATTGGAGAGATTGCTTTTTTTTTTCTTAGATCCGTCATGTTTATTGTTGATTGACTTGATCTTTGTAATTACTATGTAATTTTTGTGAGAATTATTCTATGTTGTGATTTATTAGTGATGAAGACATGCTATGAAATATGAAGTTTATTCATGGTAACCTCACGTTATTTATTTTATGGTTTTTGATTATTGCAATAAAATGAGTTGGAACTAGTCATATGACACAATTGTACATCGTTTTGGTTATAGTTTTGTTCTGGCTTTTGGTTATTTCGGATAGTTTGGTATTGGTTGATTGTGTATTGTATTTCCGTATTCCAATTTCGAGTTTAATTCTTTGGTAACTGTATGTTTTTGGTATTAACTAGCTTCTCTACTGTTGTTTCAGGTTTTTGTTTTATTGTTAAGATGGGAGACAAAAACGATGATGACAAGAACATTGAGATATGGAAGATTAAGAAGTTGATCAAATCTCTTGAAGCTGCTAGAGGGAATGGAACCAGCATGATCTCACTTATCATGCCTCCTCGGGATCAGGTTTCTCGTGTTACTAAGATGTTAGGGGATGAGTATGGAACTGCGTCGAACATCAAGAGCAGAGTCAATCGCCAGTCTGTTTTGGGAGCCATAACTTCTGCTCAGCAAAGGCTGAAACTTTACAACAGGGTCCCTCCCAATGGTCTTGTGCTCTATACTGGAACCATTGTCAATGAGGAAGGCAAGGAAAAGAAGGTTACTATTGACTTTGAGCCTTTCAGACCCATCAATGCTTCTCTTTACCTCTGTGACAACAAGTTCCACACAGAAGCTTTGAATGAATTGCTGGAGTCTGACGACAAGTTTGGTTTCATTGTGATGGATGGAAATGGGACTCTCTTTGGAACCTTGAGCGGTAACACACGTGAGGTGCTTCACAAGTTCTCTGTTGATCTTCCGAAGAAACACGGAAGAGGAGGACAATCTGCTCTTCGTTTTGCCCGTCTTCGTATGGAGAAGCGTCACAATTATGTGAGGAAAACTGCTGAGCTAGCCACACAGTACTACATCAATCCTGCAACAAGTCAGCCTAATGTCTCTGGGCTAATTCTTGCCGGTTCAGCAGATTTCAAGACTGAATTGAGCCAGTCAGATATGTTTGATCCCCGGCTGGGTGCGAAGATACTGAATGTCGTTGATGTATCATATGGAGGAGAAAATGGTTTCAACCAGGCAATTGAGCTGTCAGCTGAGATACTGGCGAATGTGAAGTTCATCCAAGAGAAGCGTCTGATTGGGAAGTATTTTGAGGAGATAAGCCAGGACACTGGGAAGTATGTGTTTGGTGTGGAAGATACGTTGAACGCATTAGAATCGGGAGCTATCGAGACACTGATTGTATGGGAAAATCTTGACATCAACCGATATGTGATGAAGAACAGTGCGACTGGTGAAACTGTGATCAAGCACCTGAACAAGGAACAGGAAGCCAACACTGAGAATTTCAAAGTAGCTGACACCGACTTGGCTTTGGATGTGGAGGAGAAGCTATCATTACTGGAGTGGCTGGCTAATGAGTACAGGCGTTTTGGCTGTGCGCTTGAGTTTGTAACAAACAAATCACAGGAAGGTTCTCAGTTTTGCCGAGGATTTGGAGGAATCGGAGGGATACTTCGTTACCAGCTTGACATGACTGCTTTTGAATCCGAGGATGGGGAATTTAATGGTGATGATTCGGAATAACAATCAATCAAATCCTCACCATCGCTGGTTGAGGAATATGGCACACCGCCATGCCTGAACCAGCCTGCGCGGGCTGTCGAGGTCTCGCAGAAGAAAATCCGAGAATAATCGAAGAAGCATCTTTTCTAAAGGTAAAAGTTCTCTTAAAACCTAGTATTCGTATTGGGAACCAGTAGCTTAATCTCTGTAATGATATTGAAACAGGTGGTGAATGAAGGAACAGGTGGAGAATGAAGAAGCCGTTGCTTTGGTTGTCTTCCAACATTTATGGAGTTTTTTCTTTTGAGTGTTTCTTAAATAATTTTACTTTGGCCAGTTTGATTTCAGTATTTTAATACTCTTGGCTGAGAAACGCGTAATGGATTTGGGTTTTATTGCATGGATGTTTTGACTTTTGGTTGATGAATAAGTTGTGACAGAACAACACTTTCTATGCGTCTTTGTTTTAAGCAGACATGTTTCAGTCTATTAACTTCTTTTACATGTTACCGTCTTCTTCTTGCGTTCGACTTTCGAGAAACTCAGACAAAATCTATTTAGGCAATACAACAATCACTCTTATGTAGTTAACTAATAACATATGTTTATTTCTTTGTTACTCTTAGTTAACTAACATATGTTTATTTCCTTGTTACTCTTATGTAGTTAACTTACTTTTTAAATTTTCTTATACAAATTAATTTTATGAATCTTCTTATAATTAAAAGAGAAATACAAATTAGAAAATAGACAAAATTGGATACATTTAACCTTTAAATCATAAAATTGATTTTCAATTTTGCTTAAAGGAGACATAATTTCTAAATCAGCGTGGGTAGTTGGTGGAAACTAAATTTACTAGTTTTCTAAAAACCAAGGTTCGCGTGCCTTCCGCTCCAACATGATACTTGGATCTTTATATCTCTGTTTATTGGGCTATAAGTAATGGGAAAATTCCATAAAAATTTCCCATCTAATTTTAATTTGGAAGTTTAATACCCAATGTTATTTGATTGGAAATAAAATACATGGTTTATTAAATTTTGGTCTATTAATACATTAAGTATATAAAAATTGTCGAATCGATTAAACCGCTTAATCGAATTGACGGAATCACTAAACCGAGGTTGACGAAATCACTAATCCCTAAACACACGGGTAATTTGGGGTTATCCAAAGACTGCATTGTACTTTGCTATTACCCCAAATCCAATTGGGATCGATAAACCCTAAATTTTGTGTAATTCCATTAACTCCGGTTTAATGATTCCGTCAATCCGATTATCGTTTGTTTAAGCGGTTTATTCGATTCGACAATTTTTATATAATTAATTTATTAATAGACTAAATTCAATAAACCATGCATTTTATTTCCAATCAAATAACATTGGGTATTAAACTTCCAAATTAAAATTAGATGGGAAATTTTTATGGAATTTTCCCTATAAGTAATCGACATCATCATTTATAAACCCATAAAGAAGAAAACAAAATATTCGGTAGATGTGGTCCATTCAAAGCCTAACTGACATTTGTTTCATTCTCTTACTTAATTAAAGCCCATCACGGTAAAACCTACTAAACCCATAACAAGGATATTACAAGACACGTTATATAGTCTAGGAAATTGCGGAATGGCATATATTTAAAACAGCACCCGTGTATGGGAATATTTATTCAATGCTTCACTCAAAGTTTCAATCATATCAAAAACAATAATCAATATACTTAAAATTTCCGTAACAAAATATTCGTAATTGTATATAATTCCAAAAAGAAAGATTTTCCATTTAATTTTATAACTTTCTAATCAAGCCTACTTACAACCTAAATTGACTCATGCCTTACTCGGCTTACAGGCCAACATATAGAACATAAATAAACTATTAATACTAAGATAAGCTCATACGTTACTGTATTGAACACATTTATTAACATTCCTTAAATCAAATATACAATATTTGAATCTTCTAATTATACGCAATCATGACAAGTGCGGCGGCGAGTGAGTTAGGGCAAGAGGTTACTATGATGGTGATCGGCGAGAGAGGGAGACCGCCAAGGGATCCACCATATGGGGCTGGCTCATATGCAGCAAAACTCCAGGGTAGTGAGTTTGGAGGAATCCCTACACTGGAGAGTGTGATGAATGCTGCGTTTATCAAAGCAAGGGTGAAGTTGAGGTTTCCTGATGGTGAGGATGGAGAATCGGTGATAACAGTTGGGGAGGAGGTGCTTGAAGCTATGTATGGACTGTGGAAGAATTGTATGATCGTAAAAGTTCTAAGGAGCTATGTTCTGATAGCAGTGCAAAATCGGAAATTACGAGAGTTGTGGAGGCCGGAGGGAGCTATGACTGTGATGGATCTCCCTCGACAATTCTTTCTGGTCCTATTTGAGAAAGAGGAGGAGTACATGGCAGCACTAGCAGGGGGTCCATGCGGGTTTTTGGGCATTCTTTGGTGGTACAAGCTTGGTCGGCGAAATTTGATCCATTAAAGGATGATATTGTTACGGCGCATGTGTGGGTGCGCTTGAATAATATTCCGGTGTTCTATTATCATGAGTCCATATTGTTGGAGATCGCTCGTGGTCTAGGGCAACTACTCCGGGTGGACATGACGACCTTGCAATTTGAGAGAGCTCGTTTTGCTTGGGTGTGTGTTGAAGTGAACCTATCTAAGCCATTGAAGGGTACGAAAGTCGTGAATGGGAAAATATATCTCGTGGCATATGAAGGCTTGGCCAAAATTTGTTCGGAATGTGGGTTATATGGTCACCTAATTCATTCTTGTCCACGACGTACGTCGGAGATGGAGAGAGTTATGGTAGCGGCCAATCCCGTGCAGGAGACGGCGGCAGTAGTGAGGCAGGCGGATGGTTTTAAGGTTGTGGAATGGCAGGGAAGGAGGACCGGACAACCGGTGAACAAGATGGTGTTTACGGCGAGTTCGTCCCAGAGTGAATCAAGGGCAAATCTTCGTGATATCCCGAGGTGTCCAAATTTGGAAATATGGAACAGATTCGGTGGTTTAGGTGAAGATACAGCTTTGGAGGAGAATAGGGAAGTTTCTCCAATGACTAGAGTGAATAAGGAAAATGAATTACGGCAACCCCGAGAGGATACTGGTGAGCTGGTAGGGGAAGTAAAGGGATTATTTCCTAATTCAAATATGGAGAGAGGGAAAGGAGGGAATTGGAATGGGCTGAATTTGAAGAAGCAAGGAGGTGGAAAGGCCTTGGAGGCTAATGGGCCTCGCCAAAGAAAAGGATTGGTTTTCAGCCCACTTAAAGGGAATGATGGATTATCAGCTAACGGTAAACGGCTTCGACCTGGTGGGGATGAGGAGACCAGGCAGAGCACTTACTCATGAGAAGGAGTCATGTCTGTTAGGTGATGGCTTAAGTGTGGTGAAAGTAGCTCATAATCCTCGTGATTTCAGGCGAGTAACGGCTGGGACTGAGATTGTCGTCCAGGAAGATGCCGATGTGATTAGGTCAGAGTTAGGGATGGCATGATGTCCTTCCCCGGTAGTTTGGAATATTTATATATATCATCCAATGAATTGTCTATTATGGAACTGTCGGGGGGGGGGGGGCGAAGAAACCTGACTTTAGATCAGCTATTCTGTATATGTTAAAGAAGCATAAGACGAATGTTCTTGCTATTTATGAGATTCATGCTGCTGGAGATAGAGCAGTTCGGATTTGTCAAGGTTTCGGGTTTGATAAATCGTTTCGAGTTGATGTTGTTGGCAACAGTGGAGGTATTTGGCTTTTATGGAGGTTAGACATTGGGGATATGGTCGTTGTGGAAGCTTCGGACCAGTTTATTTTTGCGAGGTTGGACAATGGAACGGATGTAGTAAATCTAATTGTGGTATATGTTGCTCCAAGAGTGAGTAGGAGGAGTGGCCTATGGGAGAAGTTGAGTGTCATTATTCAACAGCTAGTAGAACCGTTGATTATTGGAGGAGATTTTAATACAATTGTTCGAGTTGATGAACGCTCCGGAGGCAATGGGAGATTATCAGCGGACTCTTTGGAGTTTGGAAACTAGATGAACAATCTATCTCTAATTGACATGGGCTTTCGTGTAAATAAGTTCACCTGGAAGAGAGGTCGAACCAAAGTGAAGTATGTCGCTAAACGGTTAGACCGGGTTTTGTGTTGTCCGCATGCCCGTTTAAAATGGCAGGAGGCTTGTGTGATGCATTTGCCGTTCTTGGCATTGGACCATGCTCCCTTGTTTGTCATGTTGATTCCAACGGTGGGGTGTGATCCAAGACGCAGACCCTTCAGATTTGAAGTAGCTTGGTTGAAGCATCCTAGCTTTAAAGAGTTACTTGTGGCGTCGTGCAAACGTCAGAAGCCTTGCAATTACTCCAAGCTAAGCTTAAAAGGTGGAATAGGGATGTGTTTGGAGATATTCAGAAACGAAAGGATGTACTTATGGGGGAGATAAAGGTAGTACAAGATATGTTAGATGTTACTCAAACGGACGACATGTTGAGGAGAGAGGAGTTATTGTTGAGGCAGTTTGATGTAGTCTTGGAACAAGAGGAAGTGTTGTGGTTCCAGAAATCGAGGGAGAAGTGGGTGGCTCTTGAAGAACGGAATACGAAATACTTTCATACCTCCACAATTATACGGCGTCGGCACAACCGTATTGAAATGTTACGAAATGAGAATAATGTTTGGATTACTAGTTCAAATGAGTTGGAATTACTAGCGGTTAAATATTACAAACGGTTATATTCGCTGGTGGATGTTCTGGAGGTGGTGGAGAAGCTACCACGGTGGGGTTTTGAGGGTCTGACGCGGGATGAACAACTAAAGTTGAAAAGACCATTTCTAGCGGGAGAAGTGGAGGAGGAAGTACGGAGTATGGGGAGGTTTAAGGCACCTGGACCAGACGGATACCAACCTGTTATCAAGACTGTTGGGACGTATTCGGGGATTCTGTGAAGCGGTTTACGTTGGACTTCTTTGAGTCAGGGTGTCTCCCGGTAGATGCGAATGCTGCTCTTATTGTCCTTATAGCGAAGGTTGCTAAACCTGAGAGGATTACGCAGTTCAGGCCTATAAGCTTGTTTAACGTCCTCTTTAAAATTATTACGATGATGATGGTTATGAGACTAAAGAGGGTAATTGGTAAGCTCATTGGCCTAGCACAAACTAGTTTCATTCTGGGAAGGTTGAGTACGGACAACATAGTGGTGGTTCAAGAAGCGGTCCACTCTATGCGGAGGAAGAAAGGGCGGAAAGGATGGATGCTCCTTAAACTGGATTTAGAGAAACTTATGATCGAATACGATGGGATTTCTTGGAAAATACACTAATTGCAGCCGGTTTGGATAATCTATGGGTAAAGTGGATTTTACAATGTGTGGAGGGGCCCTCAATGTCAATACTTTGGAATGGGGAGAGAACTACGTCTTTCAAGGCTGCTCGAGGACTTCGTCAGGATGACCCCCTCTCACTGTATCTTTTTGTTCTCTGTCTT